CCTTGATTGCTTTGATGGCTCTGAAATCCTCACCATCGGACAATTCCTGTTTTCCAAGGTGGTTGCTCCTTTGAAAGGTCCAGTCACTGAATTTGTTGTGTAGTAAGTCTTTGCATCAGGTTGATTAGATTAGAGAAACTAAAATATCAGGCAAGGAGCTGCCCTATTATTGGTAGGTAATATGTATAATAATAATAATAATAATATAGAAAGGTTGTGTGTCGTGAAATCTCATTTCTGCAGGTGTACTGCAGTAGTGAAATAGCATTTGGGGAATGATTACCTGATGAGAAATTCAGCACTAACCAAAATGGAAATACCTGAATCTTCTATTTCCCTGGTGTTCCCGTTTCATATCTACAGTGTATGGTCCTGAAAGCTTACTGGAAAAAGGCAGTGTATTGGGAAATAACTTGCCAAAGTAAAATTTGCTTTACACCACATACAGTCTGCCTCAGTGACAGGTGTGCTTTTGTGTTAGAGATATATGGGTATAAAACTTAACTTTTTTTTTTCTTTTTTTTGTCAAACATAATCTCCATGCAACTAGCCTTTTCAAAAATGACTTGGACTATTTTTATGATTGAAGTGGAAGTACTGGGCTAGTTTGCTGTGTTGGAACCTTAGTTCTTGTCTGGGTCTTTTGTCCAGGAAAAATATTTTTCTCTGTTCATACTCCCACCTAAATTAGGCTTGACTAACTCCAGCATTTTAAACACTGAAAATGATTGTTGTTTCTTTAATCTGACTGCAATGGTTTGATCAAGTTCTAGAGGAAGACCAAAATATTTTATTGCTGAATAGTATTAAAAAGATATAAACTTTAGGAGGGCTGTGACTTTTGTAACCAACTCATTTCCCATGTGTGAAAATGTGTTTCTGCAATATCAGGAGCCATCAAGGTGTCAAGACCAGAAATCTAATTTCTCTACGTATTTAAAAGATGATTTTTATTTCTGTGGATATCTGTGGTGTCTGTTTTCCACAGTTTTAGAAGCCTTTTCTTTCAGAAAATTCAGAAAGATTTAGAAGATTCATGCAATAGCCTTCAGATATGACAAGCGTGACAGAAATTCTGTCTTATTTGAGGGTTGCCACCAAAGAAAGACTTGAAATGGTCTTTATTTTTATAAAGATCCTTTAAGAAGTACCATCACCTCAGTTTTTTTACGATGACAGAGCAGAATGACAACATCCCTTTGTTTTCATCTCAACTGGACCTGCAAATTGCAGCTTTGTAGTCTTTGCTTCATGACAGGTCCTGGCTGGGGTGTAAGTTAGAGCTCCAGGTCAGGAAGGCTCACAGGGATTCATTTGGTTAATGTGTAACCCGAGAATACGGCAGGGGTTGTAAATTATTTGAACCTCTGCCTATGGGAAATATAATGTTTTCATTCTGAAATGTACCGTACAAAATGATGCACTTTTTTGCTCCGTTATTAATTCACTTTCCATCTGTTCAAAATGTGCTTGTACATAGTCTGGTGACTATAAGTGGGCATTCTTGCATTCTTTAAAAGCTTAACAGAGCATTTTGCCATAATTTAATGTAGGACTAAAGAAGAAATTTGACACAGGATTTCCATATCAGTGTGTAATATCCATATTGAATTCCCTACCAGGTTTAATTTTTAATGCCTCTCTTTCTTCTGAGGTCAATATTTCACCGACTGATTTGCTTAACATCCATTTTTTGTTATGTGCATTTTGTTTTAGTTGGCTGGCAATGACCTCCTGTGTTTAGTGTTTTGTTATCAGCAAACTGTCAGAGGGCAATTTATTGTTTCAGCTTTAATGTAGCTCCTTTCTTGCCATTTTCTGTATTCCTTGTTGTGAGAGAGTAAAATTTTAGATCTGAACCCTCTGCTCCAGTGCTCCTGGAGTCTACCTGACAGAGCCAGCACTGAGGTGTAGTAGTGCAGCTCAGTGCCTTACTTCTTACTGAGTTAGACTTTTTGACCTCTTCTGTCTGTTTGTTTTTTTTTTTTTTTAAAGTTTCTAACACTGTTAGAATTTATACTGTGAGGAATGAATCAGTTATTTTTTTTTTTTTTTGTGATTGAGTGAAAAGCAATGAATTAAAAGAAATCCCCATTTTGTGGGCAAGCTTTTTTCAGTGCATGGAGTTATGCACTGAGCTCAAATGTTTATTGTTCTGATGGAAAATGAAGGAATTCCACGGAAATGAGAGGATAGTAATGTAAAGTTAAACTTCACAGAGGGACAGAAAAGCTGTATATGGAGGACTGGAGCAGAATGTGAGAAACAGCAGTACAGTGGTGGTAAGTGAAACTAAGATTATTTAGAATATTTTAGGAAAAAAAAATGAATTTTAGGGCTTTGGTCCTGTGGTCCTGAGGTTTGGTTCAGATAATTGCAACCTCTGCACTTTTTTGTGCTGGTGGTTTCTGTGGCTCAAATGGCAGATTGAATAGGTAAGATCAACACTAAAAATTGAATTGGCTCACGTGTCAGAGCATCTGAAAAAGGTGTTTGGGCTTTCATGGCTGATATGGAAAATATCAGCTGATGTGGAAAATTCTGTCATCTGAGCAGTTATAAACTGTAACTGGAGGAGACACCCTTGGTAGGGCTGCCTGGTGCAATCCTGGGTCTCTATAACCAGAAATATCATCTGCAGCTTGTTGAAGTATCACAATGTGGGCTAAGGAGCTGTGTCTGCTCCAACCTATTTTCTTGTCTTTGTCATAGTAGCTTCAGAAGAGATTAGGAGGTGTGCATAGTTGGTGGACTCTTCCCTGATTGTACCAGCAGCTTCTGCCCCCTCTAGGGACTCTCTGAACTAAACGTGTTGTTGGACATATTTTCTGTCTGTCCAGTCTTCCTAGCTCATATCACGCCTTGCTGTGGCATGAAGGAGTCCACACTGCAGCAGACACTGGGAGAAATTGGGGGTTTTATTTCAAATATATATTTTACTGTTCTCATGCCTCCTCTGTTGACACTTTGAATACCAGAAAGTCCTCCAGGCGTCTACACATAAAGTACTTTCTGATCTCTTTAATGAAAACTGAAGCCAATTCTGCAGCTCTCAATAGCTTCTATAACTATTCCTTCACTGCTCCATTCATACCTTGATAAATTATTGTTCCCATCATCTCTCTGGGGGGCTTCCTGCTTTTGATATGCTACAAAATCCTTTTCCTATTCATTTGTACACCTGCAGTAAGGAACTTCACTTGTTTTTTTTTGTCCTTATCAGACCTTATACTGCCTTATAATTTCTTAGTTGGAAGATAAATACCATTTTATCTTTCTTTAAATATTTTTGCATTTTTTGCAACAGGGGGAGAAAGATATCCTTACTGTCTCTTCATTAGAACGTGCTTTAAATTTGTACTGTCCTCATGCAGCCGTCCAAAATTTTATCCAGTAAGCTACACTTTTAACCAAGTTCCTTGTTAATTCACCTTCTGAAACATCTTAGAAGGTGCTTAGAAGGTATTTTCTCCTTATAAAGATGTCACTTGGGAACACATTGCAGTTGTTATTACTGAAGAAGCTTTTTACAGTTCTCTGGTGGTCCCATGTGTGTTGTGTTGCTCCTTGAAGCTGTCCTCCAGTGGTCTCTCAGGCTCCCTTCCCTGACAAATGGTCATATGTATTTTCTAAAACTGTACAAAGTGTCTGCAACACATGCCTGTGCTGTGTGTTTGTCTCTGCTGTTGCTGTGCTCTCTGCTTTCAAGTCTCTCTAACATCCCCTGAGGTTTCTGTGAGTGCTACAGTGCATCCAGCTGTCTCAATAACACCTTTCCTATTTAGGCGTGCAGTTTTGATCTCTTAAGATTTATTTTGATAGCATTGAGACAAATATGACTTTTAATCTGTTCTATCATATTCCTGTAAGCACGTTCTGCACTGCAGTTTCTATATCACACCTTGTTATGAGTGTCCAAAAATTATTTATTTCCACAAAAGGTTTTGGAGATGCTTCTTGTGATTCTGTTTCATGTGCCATTTTTTAACGCCTTAGCATTGTAAAGCAAAGTCCCATCATTATCTGGGAGTACCTGTACAATTTTTGCTACTCCCTACTCGAACTTTACAAACTTGCATGTGATTCTTTTTCTAGGACATGACATTTTTTACCTTCTCTAAGGGCAATTTATCCTGAACTTTGTGTCCTCCTTCAGCTGTCAGTTTGGTTCAGTCCTTTAGCTTAAAATTTCTGCTGGAGGGTGGAGATCACATAAATGAGTCTCATGTACAACAGGGATTCAAAGTGTGAGATCAGCCCCTCGTGCAGGGGGCTCTGCAGAGTCTTATTTTGGTGTAAATAAGGCTTACTTCACTTAATCAACCTGCTCTTTAATTGACTAAGCTGAAATAAATCTCTCAGAACTAAAAAGCATGTGCTTTTGACAATGCTTAGTTAGATCAAATTGACTTTGCACCTGCAGTTCTATGAGAAAAAAGTTTGCCTTGGAGGTGAACCTAAAGTTACACTGAAATGGAATCTGAAATGAGTTGGCACGTGATAACATTGACCTTTACCTTCTAAGAAGATGTTGGTGTGAAAATGAAAATAAATCATTATGCTGGAACAAAAAAGGGCACTTCTTACTTTCTAAAATGACCTTTTTTTCCACAGTAGAACTTTTGCATACGTCACCAGGTTCATTTAGTTTATGCATATAACTTGTTTTGTGAGAATGTATTTCCTATCCCATGAAAACAATTCTTTTACATGGCAGTGTGCTCAGTCTCCACTTTTCTGTTATTCTCTGGGTGTCACTGTTTTGTAGTCAGTGAATGAAATCCTGCTCATTTGAAATCTATATGTGTGTCTACAAAATCTTTGCATGACTCCAGGAATGTACCTTTATTTATTTATTTTTTTTAAAATAACTATCAATATTTGAGATAAATAATTATATTTTGTTAAGTACTTGTGGAAACAAAGATCAGGCTTTAAGACTTAGCTGTTATATTTTTTTTTCAGCTGATTCACATAAACCCTTTTTGGTACTATTTCAGGATAAAACAGGAATGGACTTTGATACTAGAATGCCGTAAGAAAGGTATTCCTCAATCAAAATACCTCAAAAATGGCTTTGTAGACACCAGTGAGAAGAACCTGGACACTTCTGGAAAGAATCCTCAGCTCAAGAAAATACATGCTTTGTCGGATGAAGTGAATAAGGAAAGAAACAAGTTTATTTTCCAACTTTCTGGAGAGCAGTGGACGGTAAATACAGTGGAAAATATGTTTCTGTTGTTAAAGAGTTTGGGGAGCTTAGCACTCTGTTTTTTAATCCTCCCCCTTTTTTTTTTCTCTCAATGCATATGAAGTTGCTGCTTTTTCACAGTGTTAGAAGTGACAAAAACATTTCCTATTTTAGCCTGAACTAGTGGTTTAGTTTTCAGGTGTGGATATTTTAAGTTCTTTACTGATACGTGCAATTTATCCCTCGCAAAAATTTTGGTGTGAGCACTCACACTGCAATAAGGTGTCTTTTTCTGAAAATTCCCCAGTGGGTGGAAAGACATGAAAATAATAAATATTCAGCTTTGTTGGCTTGTTGATGTCTACTGATGATCAGAGATTTCTATTCTTGCTTCAATGTTGTGATAACACTTTCTCAAGCTCTGCTCAATTCAGAAGTAATGTTGGCATCAATCCACAATGGTCTGGCTGAAAAAACCCCACTTTTTACTTGCAGTTTTGTTTGATGTAAAACAGCAGTTTGCAAGCAAGCTCTGAATTATTGCTAGTTTGAAATTAAGCAAATGGTGGATTAGCATTGGTCTGAAGTTTTCTAGAGTTGTAAAAGCTTTGACTGAAGTGTAGTTTGAAGAAATACTACTTTATTAATAATAAAGTTAAATTATAATTTTGACTTTTGCGTAGTCTATAATTTTGAAATATATCTTTCAAATTTTCATTATAAAAAGTTAAAAAGTTAATTGATGAGATGGTTTTTTTCACATTTTACTAGAACAATTTTTTTTTTTGGGATTTGCTTTCAAAGTAACTTTATCCTAGATTTGATCTTGAATATGAAGGTGCTTTCTTTTTCAGTGCATCAGGGAGCAGAGAGCTGCATAACTAAACTTTTCTGTTGCTTATTGGCTTTTGGCAAACCGCTGAAATTTTGCTTTGTCACCACAAGGAAGGCTTTACGTTAGGAAGCAAAATCAGTGTTTTGTTCTGTTTTCCAGACCATTTAGTTTTAACTTGACATTCTGAAAAATCACATTTAAGAGAGATTGGTGTACTGTATGTGTTTCAATAACAGAACGTGTCATAGCTCAAGTGTCTGCAGACAAAGAGAAAATCCAAGCTGCTTTATTTAGAGACCAATGCTCCTTCAAAATCAAAGTAACTCTGTAAGAGCTGAAAATTATTTAAAAATTGTGAAAATTCGCTTGACAACGTTCCAAGAGAACTTCATTGAGGAAATTTTGTAAAATTTATATCTGTTTTACAAATCATACCACTTGCTTTGCTTTTCAAAATCTCAACTGCTGCTTCTAAACCAAAGACAGACTCAGACATGAGTCTCAGATACTCTTTCCCCCTATTACTTTTTCACAACAAAGTGCATTTAGGCAAAATGAGTTTTCAGATTGTAAACCTGGTGCTGGCAATCTGCATGTGAAAAAAAAAATCTGTGGATTTGTGACAGTTTTCTCAGAGAAGTCTGTACGTGATGTAGCTGAGAGCTGTGGTGTCAGTTGGGGTTTAGTTTTCTGAATGTGTTTTGCACACAAATACATATATGAGTTGAAAGTTTGAGTGAGTGAGCACTCAGAGACAGGGAGGAGTCAGAGCTGGGATTGCCTGTGCAAATTTATGGGCATATGAACAGCTGGGTTTACTGTTGACTGGCCACTTACCACTGGCAGCAACAAACATCAGAGCCCTCTAAATTGTCCATTTGGGGACTAGCTGCTGAATCCTCTATCTCACTTTTAGCTGATAAGTATTTCTATTATGTTTCCCCTTTCCTCCCATCAATGAAGCAGCAATATATCCTCTAGATAGCTGATGGCTAAATCTGAGTAGATTACTGGTATGATTTACAGATTTAATTTTGAGAACAGGGCTTGCTTCTGGGCTATGCCAGTTCTTTTTCTGGATGCTGTGAAGCTGAGTATCAGAGGAGTAATCCTCAGCACAGGGATTTTTCAAGATCAGAGCAAGTGGCTTTACCACACTCTTCCCACAGGTGTCAGTGTGACAGTTCCCAGGCTGCCTAGATGGTAAAAATGTAGACAGGTTAGAAAGGAGCTGCTGCTTCATGCTCCATATCCACAGTGCATCTGTCCCACTGTTTCTGCACTGTTGAGTAGGAGGTTATAAAAGGGTTTTGTAAAACACTCTGTGGTGGAATCATAGGATTATTTAGGCTGGAAAAGACCTTTAAGTTCACTGACACCAACCACAAACCCAGCAGCTGAGGGATGCACCAAGTGCCCTTGGCAGTGCTTCAGCCATGGGCTGGCTGGCACCTACAGAACATGGTCTCTTTATCTCTGAGGATATCTTGCTTGGTCAGAGCAGCTTGGCCAGAGCAGCAATATTTACCCAAACAAAAGGGATTGGGGTAACCTGGGCAAATATTTTGAAAATAATCTGCAAAATGCACTTTTGAAAATAATATCCGACCTCCTTCTGAGAACATTTGTGAGGGAAAAAATCAGAGCAGGTCACATATTTTGAATTACTGAGAGGAATTCCTTCCTTCAGGACCTCTTGCCACTTTTTTCCCTCCTCTCAAATGTCATTGAAATGATAATGTATTTTCATTAGGTGGAGACCTACTGTTCCTTGTACTTGTAAAGTAATTATTTTAACATACCTGAGGAAAGATAAACCTCTTCAGGAGCAACAAAATAGTGGGGGGAAACAGGGTAATAATTTCATTATTATTAGCCCTTAATGCTTTCTGGTAAACATTTTAATTTTGAGTGTATGGATGTGTTAGTGATTATAGGCCTCCTTAGATGTATGTATTTATGTGAAGAGGATGAATACTGAGTGATTTATGGATTAAAAGCCCAGGAATTTTGGCACAGTGTTCAAGGAGGCAGTTCAGTTTGGACTTTTAACAGGGCTACAGTGAAAGGGAGATCAGTGAAAAGAGACTGGAAATAAGAAGATGCAAGTATAAATCAGGTTGTCTTAGAAGAAAGAAGAACAGTCTTACAGGATGCGGCTAGCACTGGACAAATCTTGTGAGTGATTAGTATGGAAATTAAAATTGTTTTGATGCCAGGAAAGCAGGAGAATATGTTAGATTGCAACAGTGAACTACACACTACAATGTTCTATGCAGTTCACACAAAAGTTCAAAGCTCACACAACAAATATTAGGTCAGACAAATAGGCACAGGGTAGTACCTAAAGAGACTGGGGCTTAATTTTGCAGTATATGAATTCTGAGGAATTGTATTCTGTTTGTGCAGATCCCTGTTTCCTTATAGATCAACATCACTGTCAGCAGAATTAGCATCAAACCTTTGTGCTTGAAGAACAGGCATTCAACAAGTCCCTCTGAATCTGAAAGTCCTTGTGTAACCTGGGCACTGGTTTGGTTGATAACTTTGTCTTACCTTTGTCTGTCAGAGCTCCATCACCACGGGGCTGTGTGACAACATCCTTAAGGTTCAGGGATCCTTGCCTCCCTTTTACCTATCAGACAAATATTTATGACTCAAGTGCTGCCTTCCCTGGGTGATGTATTTCTGACAGCTGGGAGCAGTAATGAATTAATAGTTAGGAAAGAAAAGGGCATGTAATAACAAATGGGCTCGTCTCAAAATCATAGAATCTCAGTCTGGTGTTTGAATACAACCAGCGAATGAAATCAGACAGGCTTTTCTCTTTGTATCCTTTTATAAAAAGTGGTCAGAACCCAGTTGCATTGCCCCAGCACTGAGCCTCCTAAATCCTCCTCTGTTTGCAAAACACTTGTGACTTGACAGCATGAGAATGGTGTAAAGTGCCACAAGTAATTCATATTCCTGGGGTATGTTTCAGAAAAAACTTTTGTCATCTGAGAGTTTTCCAGGCAAACCTGCTGTGAAAAACAGCTGTATAAGGACTACGGACCTTTGAATTTTGTGTTCGGAAAGAGATGCCTGGGAAAAAATGATGCAGAGTTGATGAAACACATAACTGAGAACCTTTGTACACATAAACATGTATCTACTCAATTAAATTAGTACTTCAGAGAAAGAGCACTGCTACTAGAACTAGAAACTGAGGCAAAATAATGCCATGAATATTCATATGAATTTTTAAATGAAATCACTTTAACTCTGTTTTTCCCCTCTGAGTGTTTACTTTCTGCTACTAACTAATGAATGTTTATTCTCTAGTGAATTGGTGAATTTTAAATGCTTTTCAGAAAACATTCAGGATAAACAAATTTTTTAATGTGTGACATCAATATTGACAGAGGAAAGCTGATGATGCTCCTCCAATGTAAAGCAGGACTGTTCTTGGCCAGGCTGCTTTACCTAAGAAGAGGATCTGGATGCACACCTACTTTAAACAATCTTAATGTCAAATGTAACATTATGGGGAGGGAAGGAAACATCCAGGATTTGTAAATGCTCACGGTTGAAAGAATAACAAAAGCCAGAGGGTTCACAAAAACTCACAAACATCTATTGGTAAATTACTATTTGATGTTGAAGTCCTCTGCCCAAATTAAGGAGCAAATGAGACCAAATGTCAGTCCAACAATACCAACTTTATTTTGCAGCATAAGTGTATAGGAAAAAGAGAGAGAGAGAGAACGAGAAGGAGAGAGGTAGTCTCTCCTCCAGAAGATAGTAATGACTGAGTACTTGTTTAAGGCATGTGCTGCAAATGTTTTTAACCCTTTCCTTACACCACCCCATGACTTAATCACTGATCAGTGGTCATGGTTTTTGATAGCTTTCTTCCTCCACATTTGTGCACAGAGTGAACAGAGGGAGAAAACAGGGATGAAGCAGAAGAGATAACCTGAGAAATCATATATCAAGCAATGCCATTGCAATCCTTAAGAAAATAAAACCAATTAACAACTTCATTCCAATTTGTGCTAACCATGAGCCCCACCCTGTGAGTCCTGGTAATGGGAGCACAGTCATCAACCAGGAGCTGGGGCTCCAGCCTTCAAAACAGTAATTTGGTTGCATGGATTGGAACAATTCTGCAGTTTTGTTAGTTATTTATACATACATACATATATATATATATAAATATACACCCCCCCATCTTGTTCTTTGCCATGCCATGTTATTATCAACAATCCCTGTTTATTACCAACAATCCTTGGTTGGCTCCACAGCCATTTGGATATTGGTGTATGAGACATATACATTAGCCCCTTATGTTCTGGGATTCTAGGGATGCTGCACAGGCTTAGGGCCAGCTGCCATCCCTGGGGACTTACCTGGTGCTGGCAGGGGGACACCACTGCTCTGGCTGTACCATGGTGAAGGGGCACCAGGATGCCCCGTGCAGGGTCCTGAGTCCCCTGAAGAGGGAGAGTCGTTGCATGGGCACAGCTATAGGTGAGGACTTGCATTGTAAACACTCAATCAGCTGCCTGTTCCATGCAAGCAAGTTGTCCTCCCAGCAAGTGGCATTTGTGAGACAATCCCTCTTCAGATCTTCTCCAATTTGGTAAAAACTCTCCTCGTCTGACTCCATACCTGTGCCCAAGTAAAGCACTAGCGTGTTCAAGTCGTAAGGAGACATGTTCTGGACTGCCCCAGCTCCAGCTCCAGCTCCTTAACTGAGGGTCCAAGTACTCTGCCCATGCCTCGTGTGGGAGGGGCACATTCATTCTCAGTACCCCAGTACTGGTCAGTGTTTTCTTCTTCTGGGGCCAGCTCTGCAATGCTGGAGAGGCCTCAGAGTTCTTCATCCTCAGGCCACTGTTGTCTTCTCCATGGGCCAGGGGTTGGTCTCTGTTTTCTTCCCCTTGGAACAGCCCTTGGTCTCTGTCATCTTTCCACTCCTTCTCCCTCTTGGCCAAGTGTAGTGACTGAGGCATGGACACCCTCCCTGGTCAGCAAGAGAATAATTTATTATTTATTTCAGGCCTCTACTTATAGAGGAACTAGTTTTGTTTCTGGTCTGTGAGCTGAGCATCTTCAACCTCTCAACAAAAATACTTGGCCCTATAAAATTACAGTATGCATATTTCTACCTATTAATGACTAATGTCCATCTTTACACCTATCAGCTTTCAACATGCTTTCTTCTTTTCTTCAGTCATCTTCTTGTTCTGGGTCATGGGACCTTTGTCTCAGATCAGCAATTGTTGTAGGCTCGCTATTTATTTTACTTTTAAAACTTTTTTTCCTCCTCTACCAAAAATCAAACAAGTTTGAGGGTATTGCTTTGCTGTTAAAGGCAGAAGACTAGCTGTCCTCCAAGTGTCAGTCTGGAGGTGATGTCCAGATGTTAGGAGGATAAATTACTTGTTGATAGAATCGTTAATGTTTATGGCTTGACCTCAGCATCCCTTTCTGTGCAGAACTATAAAAAAAATCAAACAGTTGTATTTTATTTGATTTGCCTCCATGTGGATTGGCCTCTTGCACACTGGGTGAAGAACATGTTTTGGGGCTTGGTGCCAGTGCCAGTGCCAGTGCCCTGCCATGGAAGTGGGGACAGTGCTGGTGCCCTGCTGGGGAACTGCAGCGACAGCTCCTGGAACAAGCTTCAAACCTTGTTAAAGACGAGGGAGATTTGGACTGAAACCACGACAGATAAAACTACAGAGCTGGAAAAGAAACATAATTGAAACTTCTCTGAACTTTGATCACAGTTTTAGTTCAGGCTCACGTCTAGCAGGCAAATTCTCTCCTAATTAGAAATAGCATAATCAGCAATTGTTGTAGGCTTGCTATTTGTTTCCTTTTAAAACTTTTTTTCCTCTCTCAAAAATCAAACAAGTTTGAGGGTATTGTTTTACTGTTAAAGGCAAAAGACTGGCTATCCTCCAAGTGTCAGTCTTCATGAAGCAATTTATCAGCAGGCTGCCAGCTTTAGCGTGGCAGCAGAAGATTACAAAAGAACACAAGGGAATCAGAGAGCAAAGCAAACGCAGAGCTTGTGCAAATTCCAGCTCCCATCCCTATCTACTTTGTAAATGAAGCAAAATATCAGATCAATTTATGTTTCAGCAACACAAATATAAATGCACTGTAAAATGGAGAATGTTGAAAAACCACATAATAGCAGAGTATTCGCCTGCCTGCGTTTGCAAATTGTGAATATGATCGTATGGTACAAAGGAATAATCTCAAGAAAGAAAAGTAAGTTGGCAGTTGGTAGAAGAATGGAATCTCTTTCCATTGTTTTGAAATTGTGTCTGAATGTATTTAGTTGCTGCACAGGATATCTCAAACTACCCTTAATGCTGACATAAAGGTTTTTCAGAATAAAATTATATGTTAATGATACGCAATTTTTGGTTTGTATTTTGGCTTAATTTAATGGTATCTATTACTTTATTTTGCTGCAGAAAAAGGTGCAGCAATGAAAGTGGAGAAATGGAAACTAACCCGAGAACGTTGGATATATTTCTCATTGTCATTCCTGGGGCATTTCAGGCATTTTATTTTTTTAATTGCCATAAAGTGACAAATATAGAAGATGGATCACAATGCAATATACACCTAGTTGGGAAATGAAGCAAGACATGAAATGATCCATATCAAATATGGAAGGGCAGGTAGCACAACAGAACTACATCAACATAGGCTAAGGATCTGCATGTGTAAATTTGGAAAGAATTGAAAAGACTGGCAGCAAGCACCAAACAAAGAACAGCTTCTGATCAAGAGTCCAGTATATCTTTAATTACAATTGGATGTTTTAATATAGCTAATGTTAAGTAGCACTATTCCTAGTTCAGAAATTCAGCATTAATTAAAAACCCAATTAAAATGCATTACCCTTGTTAATGTTTTGGAGGATCTATGAAATCTAGAAGACAAGAAAAAGTAGGCAATATCCTTTGCACAAAAACCAGCAGTTCCTACTGTGTCATATTGTTCATGTGCAGGAAACAAGTCTGAAAGTCATAAAGGAATCAAAGGCTGAAACTCTCACATCGCTTCTTGTGGAGCAAAGTTAATGGCAGAACCTCTTCCAGGCTATTGGTTCCAGATGTTACCAGTGCACAGTGTTATAAAACCCAGGACAGACTTGTAAATTATGTGATTCTTAAGAAAGCAGAGTGTAAATGATCTGACCTTCACCTTTAGGAATTGATTTTTTTTCTGTTTCAAGTTCAAGGAATTTGACGACATAATTCAAACAAATCATGCACATCTGAAGTGAATACCAATTAACTAAAGCAATTTTGTAAACATTGAAGGCTTTATGACTTTTAGTTTCAGCTACATTGAATATTTTTGACAAATAGAATAGTCTGAAATTTACTCAGAAGCATTTCGAAAACACTGGAATTCTGAAAGCAAAGCGTGAACTAAATCAAGAATTACTTGCAATTGTGGACTGATCTAAAAATCAAGTATTTCTAGTCTTCCTAAAGAAATCTAGTAAAAATTTTTTGAACATTGCTGTAACAACTTAAGAAGTTAAGTAACTCTTTTTGGAAAAAGACTTTCAAAAGGTGGTATGTGCGTATCCTGCTCTGTTCCATCTTGCCAAACAAATTTGAAACATTGGCAGGTATTCAGAACATAATCACACCTTTTTTTTTTTTATGCTGACAAACCCTATTTAAATATTCTCTATACACTCACTCTTCTGTTCTGTGTTGCATTTTACTACATCTTGATGTGTGAATTAAAGCACTGAAATGTGTTTTAAAAAAAAAAAACTCTCCATCTGGAAAAAGGAGATAATGTGTGAGACACCAAACAAGTTGAGTGCTTCGGAGAGGCTTCTGTTTTAGAGCAAATGATTGCATTAGAAGTTAGAAAATGAATATGTGGTGAAAAACAGCTGCAATGCTCTTCAAAGGCAGACAGTTCCTGTGAGGCTTTGGCAAACTGCTATTCTGCTCAAGATAATTAAGGTAAAGTGTTGTAGCTTGGCTGTGTTTAGAAACATGGCAGAACAAAATTCTGACTTCACACTTTCTGTTTTCCTGTTCTTATTTCGTTCACAGGAGCTTCCAGATTCTCTGAAAGAACAGACCTATCTGAAAGAATGGCATGTGAACAATACATTGATACAAACCATTCCAACCTACATTGCATTATTTCAGGATCTGAGAGTACTGGAATTGTCAAAAAATCAAATCCACCATCTCCCAGTGGAGATTGGTAAGTCAGTTCAAGATATTCAAATATTCATAGTCAAGCCATTTAACTCTATTACAGGTAAATGAGCATCTGTGGATATTCTTATTAATTTTCTGGTAATTGTCTTTCTTGTTTACAGCCAACAGTCCTCTCTACATTTTTACAGCTCTCTGGCTTTAATTATACTTGCCAAATTGTACGCAAAATCACGCATGTAACATGGGAAAAAGTTAACATGTTTTTGTTTTCTGACTGTGAAGCAGTTATTGCTTGCATTCGAGTAGACTGGTGTTTTATGTTCCTTACAGGTTAAGAAAAATAGAAACATTACAGAATTGTAAGCCTCAAACAAGATGAATGGAAACATAAGATTGTGGTAAAACGGAATCAAAAATATAATCCTGCATAAAATCTGTCTTTTGAATTTTTAAAGACCTCGGTAATCATCTTCATTTAATAAAGTAGTGTATACAAAGAGTCATTGAATCATAGAATAATTTGGATTGGAAGAGACTTCAAAGATCCAGTCCCAACCCCTCTATCATAGGCAGGGACACCTTCCACTAGCCCAGGTTGCTCCAAACCCTTGCCAACCTGGCCTTGAACACTTTCAGAGATGGACCATCCACAGCTTCTCTGGGCAACTTGTGCCAGGGCCTCACCACCATCACAGTGAAGAATTTCTTCCTAGTATCTAACCTAAATCTACCCACCATGACATCAGGGGTTTTAGAGAAACAAATTGTTAATGTTTACATACTTTGGCCTTTGTTATTTTAAGCTGTGTGCAAGAATTGTAGTGTTTGGCTCTCCTGTGGCTTTGGATCTGACAATATAAAAGCTTGTTTGACAGATTGCGTTGATATTGAGAGGGATTTACTACTCTTACAAGGAAAAAAGTTGCTGTAACTGCTGCTGTCTTTGGGAGTTGAGGAAACTACGAGTATCCTGCACTATGAGTTCACCATTGTTGAGCCCATGGGCCCATGTGTACTAATATCTCAGCCTTTCCAAAAGTCCTAAGCCTTCCCCATGATTGTCAATCCTTATGTACTCTAAGAGAAAGGCTAAACCCTCCACCTCCCTAGGTCTATCTAAGAAAAACAAGAAGAGAGAGAGCATCCTGAAACACAGAAATCAGTTCTAAAATTTTCTGCTATTTTCTACTGTTTTCGTGCTCTATTAGAGCAACACTCATGCTTTTGATTTATCTACTTACACTATATTTCATAGAGAAAATTCTACATAGACATTGAGATGTACTTTATAGTTTCAACCCAGCATCTAAACACCCTAACAGATCATAAACAAGACACATGCAGGAGATAATGGACATAAAATGAATACTGTTTTGTCAGCACTTTGACTGCAGAACTTGAACAGGCCAGTGAATTTAATGGACAAACACCTTCCAAGAGGTGGTCTGAAAGAAAGAGGACATAGTATGGAAGGAAGGGGAAAGGATATAGCTTCCTGCCACAGGCTACCCTAAAGCATTAAACAGAAGGTTTTAAGGGATTGTTGTTTAACAATGAAGGCAGGACAAAGTTTGTTGTCTCTTCTTGAAACATTATGCACTGTTAATGAAAATGATCCCCAAGGAAAAAAATATTATTAATCCTGCTAAAGTCTGTTTCCACAATAAGGGCACAAACACAGATCACAGAATCATAGGATTGTTAAGATTGGAAAAGGCCTCTAAGACTGTGTCCAACCATTAACCTAGCTCCACCATGTTCACCTCTGAACCATGTCCCTCAGTGCCACATGCACAAGTTTGTTTTTTTAAAATTCCAAGGTATGGTAACTCCACCAGTTTCCACCCTGTTCCAATGCCTGACCAACCTTTCAGTGAAGATTTTTTTTTCTAATATCAAATCTAGACCTCCTCTTGCACAACTTGAGGTCATTTGCTCGTGTCACTTGTGGTCCACAAGAAGAGATAAAACCTCACCTTGCTACAACCTTCTTTCAGGTGGTTGTAGAGAGCAATAAGATTCCCCCTCAGCTGCCTTTTCTCCAGGCTAAACAACCCCAGCTCCCTCAGCTGTTCCTCATAAGACTTGTGCTGCAGACCCTCCATCAGCTTTGTTGTCCTTCTCTGGACACCCTCCAGCACCTCAATGTCTTTCTTCTCATGAGGGGCTGTCATGGTTTAGGAATGATATTCCCCAAGTTTGTGATCCCATTGAAGCACTCCAACCCATGCACTGCTCACTCACCCCCTCCTCCCCCTTCCTCTGTGCCAACGGAAAGAGGGAGAGGGGAACTGGAGGCACAAAAGACAAAGATTATGAATTGAGATTTTCTTTTAAAAGAACAATTTACTGGAAGCAGCTACAATATCAGTAACAGAGGGAAATGGTGCTACCTGACCCCTTGCTTCACACCACACTTCCTTGACTGGAAGGGACCCCTTCCCCCATCCTGGGGAAGTGCCCTGGGTCCTGGTCATGCCCCCTCCTGGCTACTGCAAAAATTAACCCTGTCCTGACTGGAAGCAGGACAGGGGAGGAGAATTGGAGACAGGAATTTAAGGTGCAGCCTCAGCAGTGCTGAGTACAGGGGGACAATCCCTTCCCTAGTCCTGCTGGCCTCACTATTTGTGATACAGGCCAGGATGCCACTGGCCTTCTTGGCCACCTGGGCACCTGGCTCTTGTCCAGCACCCCCAGGTCCCTTTCTGCCAGGCAGCTTTCTGGCCAACCTTCCCCAAGCCTGTAGCACTGCATGGGGCTGTTGTGACCCAACAGCAGGACCTGGCTCTTGGTGTTATTGATTCTTATACAATTAACGTCATTAAACCATTTATACAGCCTGTCCAGATTCCTCTGAACATCCTTCCTTCCCTCCAGCGGGTCAATACTTTCACCCAATTTAGTGTCATCTGCAAACTAAGGGGACACTCAATTCCCTCATCCAGAACAATAAAAGTTTTTAGAAGGGCTGTCCCCAGCACTGAGCCCTGGGGAACTCCACTGGTGACTGGGGGCAAAGTAGATTGACCTGGTACAACTAATTCACTGTAGAGAGTTATGTAGAGGCCATATCAGACCTTTCTTGGGAAACAAGGAAGAAAGTTTCAGTGTTTCTAGTAGCAATCAATGTTCTTTCAATTGCAATAAAATTATATGTTTTCTGCTCATCAGAAGCTTTTATGTTATTCCCATTTACTCACTTTAACTCCAGCATGCTTATCCTACTAGCTTATACCCAAGGTGTTGCTTTCTTCCTTTCAATGTTTTTGTTCCTTTTTTTTTCCTGTAAATGTTTGATTGGAAGAGCCAGAGAATGTCAGAAAACTGTTTTACTGTAGCCCCCCCCCCGTCACAGTATTATGGCACTCACCATCCCCTTCTTAAATGTGAAAGCACATCCAGAATTTTTCTTTTCAAGATTCATTAAATCTAAGCACTCATCTGTAGAGACATAGATTTGAACATTAGACACTGCATAACCAAATCAACAAATTTTCTAAGCCATAGATGCTATTTATACAATAGTTCTATGTCACAGCAGTAATTCTAGCCTGGGCAGAAAAAGACACACGTTGACTGGTGTACTTTAAAATCAAACTATACGAAAAAGCCACTCCAGGAACTGTGTAACTGAACTGTTCAGCACTTGTTTTGCCAAAACTCACTAAAGGTTTTCAGTCTTACCAAATGTCTGTGTTGATGGATCACCTATTAGTAGTGCAGTGACACTGCCCTTGCTGTTAATGGCATAAATTACAGAGAAGTTTTGTCTTATTTTGTGTAACTGTTGATGTGTAAGGGGGTATTCTTGCAAATGGTTATGCTTTTATTTCTTTTACTGTATATGCATACAGAGACAGACACTGATGTGCATTGGAAATGTTAATTATTTTCATAAGACGTTATTATGAAGGGTCTTGGATATTTTGAAGTTTTTGAATACTGATTCAACATGAAACATTTCATACTTCAGTCAGCTTAGCTACGAAATTGGCAGAAGGGAAATAATCATTCTGGGTTTGATTTGGGAGCTCTGCCTAGGAAAGGAGTGAAGACTGGCTGCTAAATCAGAAGATAAGGTAGGGTGTGTAGAAAGGTTAAGTGTCAAGATATTCACCATTTTGTTTTCTGTTTACAAAGCAGCAACAAGTAGATAAATATCACAGCTAAAATGTACTTGAGGGTAAGGACAGATGGATGATACTGGCTGTGACACATCTTGTTGATTTTTTAATCTTCAGACAGAATTGGAGCCAAATTTAGATCAACAAGTCATCCAGCAGAGACTAACCTGGTGAGCCATGTCAGGGCTCCTTTTGATTCTCACAAGAGGGCTGTAAAGGTGTGAAAGAACAGGAGGTGATACGAGTATTTTCAGTGCAAAAAAGGTATTGTTGGAATAGCAGTGTCCAGACTAAAATGCCTGTAGGAACTGAGCTGCATGTCCCTATTTTTCTGGGTTTAGAAGATAATTTTCCACTCTGAATCAGGGAGAAGAAAGACTCGGATCCATTCTCAGATATTTCAAATCACACTTTTAGTTATAGTCACCTATGCACTTGAGCAGACCAAACTTGTATCAGAAGATAGATGAGAATGCTATTGATATGATTCTTTTTGTGTGATATTGAATATTTTAATGGGAAATACTTAAAAAAAAAATGGAAAAAGAGGAGAAAACTGCAGAATGGAGCTGTCTGTCTTAAAGTGGTCAGGTCTGGTTTGCCCAGGAACAACAGAAAAATTCATGAACAGGGCTGTAGCTGAGAGATTTTATTTGTCTTCTTTGTGAGACTGCAGTTCTGGCTCTGACTACATGTTCCTGTATATAAATTAGTGCAGTTCCTGTATATATAGTTCCTGTATATATAGTGCAGTTCCTGTATATAGTTCTGGCTCTGACTACATGTTCCTGTATATAAATTAGTGCAGTTCCTGTATATATAGTTCCTGTATATATAGTGCAGTTCCTGTATATAGTTCTGGCTCTGACTACATGTTCCTGTATA